CTCTAGTATACATATCTTTAATGACTTGAATATAAGTCATATCAACACATTTCTTCTCAAAAACTCTCTGAAGGATATCTCTTGGAACCTTATCGTAAGCTTTTTCTAAATCAATAAAAATCAAATGTAGATTCTCCTTATTATCTCTGAACTTCTCCATCAAACTTCTCAATAAATGTATAGCTTCCATCGTAGACCTGTGTACAGCTTCCATTGTAGACCTGCCCAGCATAAATCCAAATTGATTATGAGAAATCTTTGTGATACGTCTTAACCTATAATCAATTACCCTCTCCCAAAATTTTAAAGTATGAAACATCAACTTAATTCCTCTATAATTTGCACACTCTTTTGCACCCCTTTATTCTTAAAAACGGGACCAAAATACTCTTCCTCCACTCCTCCTGCATCGTTTTAGTTTCTAAAATAATATTAAAGAATTTATTAAGCCAAGAAACTCCCAAATCTCCTAGACATTTCCATACTTCAATTGAGATATCATCAGGTCCTACAGACTTTCCACCCTTAGTTTTTTTTAAAGTCTCCTCAACTTCTTTTTTACTAATACGATGGTAAAAATGAAATGTTTTATTGTTATTAACGATATTAAGATCACTGAAGTCGATCGTATTTTAAAAAATTTCCTTAAAAAATTAATCAAAATAAGTCACCCACCTATGTTGAATATCTTTTTCTAAGAAAAGCACTTTTTAATTTTCATCTTTAATACGTTTTACTTTTCTTTTCTCTCTGTTTTGCTAGTTTATACATAAATTTTTCACCATCCTTAGTATCTAATCTATTATAAAGATCATTACAAGCCGAATTTTTAGTGTTACGTATTGTTCTTTTAGACTCCCTGCGGGTCTTTTAGTATTTTTCTCAGTTTTCTAAACTTTTACATTTAAACCAATTTTTATAACATAACTACTTATATTTTATGTTTTCTTGCATATTATTATTTCACCACCAACTATGTTTATTTAAAAAAAAATTTCTTTTGATTCTCCAAGTACATCTTTTGTTACTTGTTAGTATTATTTATTTTACAACTCTTCATCTTAAAATCTAGAACTAATAAACAATATTGGGTACTGAAATCTTCACTTGGAATGACCTTACAATTTTTACAATCTCGCCGATCTCTTCTTCTCATAAGAAAATAATCAATTTGTGTTTTATTAGATCCATTTTTATAAGTAATAAGATGATGCTCATTTCTTTTCTTGAATAAAGTATTAGTAAAAAAATCATATGCTAAAGTAAAATCAAAAATAGCTCTACATTATTCATTAGTCAGTCCAAAACCGTAGCCACCATGAATATTTCTAAAATCTTCTATCACTTTACCGACGTGTCCATTTAAATCTCGTTCAATAAAAATTCTTTCTTCAAGAGATATCATTTGTATTAAGTATTCTAAGTCATTCAACTTCTATTTGTATTGTCTTCTTGGTCATTCCAGAATTTTTCTTTAGAGCTTATATCTAAACCTACATGAAGAGCATAAGCACTTATAATATTAAAAGATAATCTTAAGGGTTATAATTTAATATCCAACTCTATTAATTTTTACAACATTATCTTTCAAACTCTTATCAATAATTACACCTACATCATTTCTAGTGCGACTCTTACCAGAATATATTATACTTCAATAACTCTGAAATAACCTTCGCGATTCCACTTCAATAACCCTGAAATAACACCGCAAAGGTTATTTTGGGGTTATTTCGAACTTATTGAAGTGAAACATATGGGTTACTCTTTAATAATCTTGAAATAACACCGAAATAACCTCCAAGGTGTTATTTCGGGGAGGTTATTTCAGGGTTATTAAAGTGGAACCACGGAGAATATTTTGGGGTTATTTAGAGGTTATTTTGGGATTATTGCAGAGTCTGCGGTTCCACTTTATATTTATTAGGCGACCCGATATAGTACACATTGTGGTATATTGTCGGGAGTCCGCACATAGAGCTACGTCCAGAGTTCAGATAGAAAATTTTTCCCAAAAAAAGAGTCCGTAAGCAACATAAAAGTCCAAATACTAAATATATCTAATGGGCCTAATAGATCAAGCCCACCATCCATGCATTCAATAGCCTGGTGTTTGCTCGACCAAATGTACGTGTTAGCCATATCTTTGGAAGTAACAAGCAACTGAGATTCTCTGAACGTGTTGACCCAGAAGGACCCCACGACTACCTTTGAAACACATCAACATTTATACGAGTTACTCTAAACGGGCTTGCCAAGCTCAAGTTTTCAATTGAGCTCCTCCAATCGAGCTCGCTCGCATTTCCTGAATACTCCTGCCAAACTTGTTGATGGATACCTAGCTACATCACCATGCTCGATGAATAGTTCTTCGAGACAAAACGAAGAGAATTCTAGTCCATTGGCATATATATAATCATTTATTAGTGACATGATATTCATGTCAAATATCTTATCAACGACGAGACTACTCAAGCTCTGTATTGTCTTAGCCAATAACATAGCTTTTTATTTTATTTATTAGACCGCTGCGCAAGCACATAGGCTCTATGGCATTTAAGTAAGAAGTAAAATAAAAGAAAAAAAAAAGAGGGGGGTTATAGCTTTCTCTCTAACACTCTCTTTCTTTTTTAGTTGAAGAAAAAGCGAAGAACTGAAATGGATTGCACTAGAGAATACATAACGTAACAAATGGATGCACTCGATAAGCAAATGAAAAAAAGGATAGAAGAAGTAAGACAGCAAGTATACATAACCAATTCCAGAGACCATTCGAGGAGTCGAACTGGATCGTCAAGATCGGTGGTGTAAAGACGGGAACAATAAAGAGGTCAGACACCAAGATATACCTCGAGCCAAAGCGAGGAGAGCCCTGGTTCCAATTTTAGAAGAAGATGATGATGATAATGACGTGTCGTACATCTCTGGAGAATAGACACCAGAGTCCTCAGATGATGAGGAAAGAAGAAGAAGAAGGAGAAGATTGTTGGTAAATGCATTTTCTAGAGAAATTGCTAAAGCAGAACTCCCCAGGAGGTTCAAAATCCCTTTCCAATATTCTTGCAAATGGAGGATTAATCATGTTGACCATGTAGCTTCTTTCAAATTAGCGGTCATCTGCTACAAATAAACGATGTCCTTAAATGTCTTTTAATCCTGCGTCCCCAAGGAATTCAATATCCTAAAAGAAGATGCAGCAAGCATGGAACTCATTTTCCAAATCCAGCAGGGAGATTTTTTAGTTGAAGAAAAAGCGAAGAACTGAAATGGATTGCACTAGAGAATACATAACGTAACAAATGGATGCACTCAAAGAGCAAATGAAAAAAAGGATAGAAGAAGTAAGACAGCAAGTATACATAACCAATTCCAGAGACCATTCGAGGAGTCGAACTGGATCGTCAAGATCGGTGGCGTAAAGACGGGAACAACAAAGAGGTCAGACACTAAGAGGAGATACCTCGAGCCAAAGTTCGAACGAATCGAACACGAACTCATTGACGAACCGAACACAAACTGTTCGCGAACAACGAGCTTTTTTGACAGCCCTAATCCTGACAATACTCAAGAAATCAACTCTACACTAGTTCAACAATTTGTCGGAAGGAGTCATCACTTTCTTCCAAAAATGTAAGCAGATGTTCGTAGTCCAATTCATCAAAGCTCAAAAGCCACAAAAAAACCTCTTTCAAATTAGCGGTCATCTGCTACAAATAAACGATGTTCTTAAATGTCTTTTAATCCTGACAATACTCAAGAAATAGACTCTACACTAGTTCAACAATTTGTCTGAAGGAGTCATCACTTTCTTCCAAAAATGTAAGCGGATGTTCGTAGTCCAATTCATCAGAGCTCAAAAGCCACAAAAAAGCTCTCAAGCTTTATCAAATATATGGCAAGCTCCATTTAAAAGCTTAAGGAGAATTATTATTAGATTCCAGCGTAACATGTTCCGCATCAAATTGAGTCTTTCGTCGCCCATGTAGCAGTAACGCAGGGTCTGTGCAAAGGTCCATTTTGATACACACTTGATTTGCCAAAACAAAAAATTTTAGCTGAACTTTTAGAGCTGGTCAATGACCAAATGTCGACTGAGGAATACAACTCTTTGTCGAACCCCTCTAAAATAAGAAAACCATAAGAGGAATTTCAAAAAAGAGACTCCCACAAGCATCAAGTGCTTGATGCATATTCATGCAAAAAGACTATCGAGATGCCCGAGAAGATATTCTCGACAGCAACATCAACCAGAGCGGCCTGATCGAAGGCTTATCATAAAAAGCCTGAGATGAAGCAAAAGATATCTCAGCCCTCCACGTTCAACCTTCCCAATTCTCAACATCCTCATTAATTGAATCATTGAGAATAGTCGCGGGAACAAGCTACCGATCAACATATTTCTCTGTAACAAAGCAACTAGAATGTCAAAAGCGTAGACTAACAAAAATTAAAAAATATATATGTAGAAAACCAATGCCTAACAACTACGACTCAACTCCGGGAGTGTTATCAGTCGATTAGAACATCAAAAACTCGTGCTCTAGTGATGAATTTCGAAAGAACAATCGCTGGTTCCTCAGGAATAAGATCTAAGACTAGCTGCATAAGCATTTTTTTTTGGATTAATTTCATTCAAATCGGCTTCCAAGGCCACATTTGGGGCTGGAGTACTCCCCATAGAACTGTCTGACAACCATTTCTCTTTGACTCCCATTTTCCTTCGAATCTTGGAAACCCTTAGAACACTTCCCTCTCTTCAGCATTCGTTGCACGATCGCTTTCAACTATTCTTCTGAATATCTTTTCTTTAGAGATATATCCCATTGAAACAGGATCAAAGTAATAATAGATTCTCGAGAATAAAAGAAATAAGTTCAAGAACGAAGCTTATTACTCGAAAAATTTCGCAAGGACTTGTAAAACTATTAAGAAAAGGGAATTAGCGTGGCAAACTTTTCTTATAACCACTAAAATTAACTCTATTGTTATTAATGTTACTTTCTTTCTAGTGTCAAGGTAACAGTCCATTAACAATCGTAGCAAATGTTTATGTAGGACCTACTTCAAATGATATGATAGTTATACTCTAACAACTCTAAAGAACTAACATCAACACACCTTCCATGAAAGGTTAAGCTTTAGATGCTCTATTTCACCATTCTTTAACACTGCATATCCCCAGTGACTCGAAAGAGTCGCACCGTCCATAAGAATCTATGTTCTCATCCAGGATAACTTGACAAGAAAAAAATCTACTATATCCCCTATGGATTATAACCATAAAATGAGTAGCTTCCACCACCTAAAACGTAAATGCTTCTGAATGAGAAAAAGTTCACAGTTACTAGATCAGGGCTACTCTCTGCAGGATTAGCTTCCAAGCCCCCACAGAAAATATAGTCCAAGCTGGGCAATAAACACTCGTGACTATTTTTCAAGGCATAGCAATAAAGTGTATTGGCGGTGGAAAGCACTATTTGAATTTAATATGAATAAACATGTCTCGGGACATACCCTGCAGAGCATGACACTTGTTGTGATCCTATCATCCTTCTAGTCATACATAGAGGTAACTTATCCTTTCATTCTTTTATTTTTCTCACAATATCAAATTGAAGAGCTAAGAGAATTGGAAAACTAAATATATATCCAAATATAATTTTTTTTAAGCAACAAAAAAGTTAAAATGCTAAATGGGTCTGATTGGCCTAATAGGCCAGATCAATCATACTTGTTAGCTGCACATTTGGAGATAGCAATTTATCGAGCTTTTTGCCACCCAAAAAGACCTCATGAGTACCTCTGAAACACGTCAGTATTTATGGGAGTTCCTCCAAACGGGCTTGCCAAGCTCAAATCATCAAGCTAGCTCCTCTAGTCGAGCTCACTCTCATTTCCCGAATCCTCCTAGCAAACTCATCGATAGCTACCTAGCTCGATGAATAATTTTTTGAGATAGAAGACAGAGAGCTCCAATCCATCGGCGTATATATAATCATTTATTAGTGGCATGATATCTAAGCCAAAGATCTTTTCAAAGGCAAGCATAATCAGGCTCCGTACTATATAGCCTACAACGTATCTTTGTATTTTATTACATAGACCTTTCCACGGGCACAAAGGCTCTGTAACGTATAAGTATGAAGTAAAAGAGAAGAAACACCTCATGAGTACCTCTGAAACACGTCAGTATTTATGTGAGTTCCTCCAAACGGGCTTGCCAAGCTCAAATCGTCAAGCTAGCTCCTCTAGTCGAGCTTACTCTCATTTTCTCATTTCCCGAATCCTCCTAGCAAACTCATCGATAGCTACCTAGCTCGATGAATAATTTTTTGAGATAGAAGACAGAGAGCTCCAATCCATCGGCGTATATATAATCATTTATTAGTGGCATGATATCTATGGCAAAGATCTTTTCAAAGGCAAGTATAATCAGGCTCCGTACTATATAGCCTACAACGTAGCTTTGTATTTTATTACATAAACCTTTGCACGGGCACATAGGCTCTGTAATGTATAAGTATGAAGTAAAAGAGAAGAAACCAAAAAAGGGTGACTCTAGTTCTATCTAAGGCTCTCTCTTTCTCAAAAAAAATCTCTCAGTTTCTTCTCACTACTCTCATAAGATTTCTCCCAGATTTTAAGGGTTCACGGCATCCCGAAGGGATTCAACACAAAACAAACAACCAAATAGAATAACAAAATTCTAAGGGAAATATACATACGGTAACATGCGAGTAATCCTGTTTCCGATCATAGGGTTTCCTTGACTTGATCAGCACTGAGCTTGCCTATCAACAGCAGAAACATTTAGCAAATCACGCGTCAAATTAGCATAATAAGTTTGGAAAGTGGCATCATCATGTTAAAAAGCCTATTATATCGTGAGCAAATAATGTAACAAGATTAAGGTGGAAGCGGGAGCACCTCAACGAAACCCCCACATCCATAGATGGACTCCGCCGTAGATAGGTGCGCCGAGAGAGCCAAAAGGAGGGAGAGCAAGAGATTTGCAAACGCCATTAACTTCAAATCGTGTACATGCGAAGACGTTCTGCAGAATAGACGAAATACGAGAATGGAGCGTTTGGGTCCCTTGCGGCTTCTTCTAGCCGGTAACCAGAACTCGAAAAACCCTACTTGATTTACATAAATTTTGATAGTTAAAATAGGAGTATTTTTTATATGATATGAAATATTAAAAAACAAAATTTAGGTGTTAGATATGTAAATTCATAAGAATGAAGTGGTATACATGTAAATGTTGCTAAAGATTTTAGTGCTATACATTCAAAATGTTTAATTGTTAGATATAAAATGCATATAAATTGTGTCATACATATGTTCATGACTCTAAAAGATATCATAATAGAAAGTCATGCCAATGTATAATGTCAAACTACTTTATCCTCTGTTCTAAGAAATATATCTGAAAAGTTATTGAAAATGTAATTATAATTTTTATTTGTAGATTATTTATTGGAACATCTCATAAAAGAAATTAGTTAGATTAACGATTTTTTTTTTAATTCTATCATTTGAATCTTGTAAGCTTCATCATAAGCAGTCATTCCTATTATGTATTTCGTAGCGAGGCCTGGCGAGGCGCACCACCCAAACTCAACTTTGCATCAAACAAAACCAATAGAAATTTGATCAAATGGGAAGTATTTTGTGAGAGAATTGGGTGTTTCTAGAGGCAAAATCAATTTTTATTTTGAGGGTGAGCAAACTAAAATGAGAAGGAATTACTTCCTTAAACCCTAAGCCCTAAACCCTAAACCCTAAATACAATCACAAAACTGACTATCTTATCATATAATAATAAATTTGATTTTTTTTTTTTTTTGCAAAGAATAATTTCAAATTAAAACTATTAGATAGAAATGATGAGAGCAAGATAAAATTATTTTATAACTTTCTTACTCCAAGTTTCCAACCCTTTAAAAGCAATATCATGAGTGATAAATATTTTTTTATTAATCCACAAAGCAAAAAGAAAAAAAAAACACAGATTTTGATGTATAAGGAGAAAAAAATTAGCTTGGCCCTTGCCATCCTATCCTGGTAAAATAGAATCTGGCAAAATATTTTCAATTTCATATATTTTTTTCTTAAACATGATTAAAGTAACTAATAATCTATGGTATTTGGACTATGGTCCAAAGCATTGCATTTTTGAGGAGTACAAACCAATACTTCTCAATGAACTTTAAATTATTGATCTTAATTACAAGTTTCTATAAGAGGAAAACAGAATGTGAAAAGAAAATCACGATAAATAAAAAACGGAACTTCAATGTGAATATGATGTCTCTTACAATAAATCTCTTTACTAGTCATTTTAATTGTCAGGCATTGGGCTTCGACATTAACTTTAATGGTGAGAGAGAAAGTGTGGTGCGGCCATACGGGCATCAATTGGCAGGCATTTGCTCTATGCATTGGCCTTCAAAGTCATGAGTGGGAGGCCTATTGGAGTGTTGTCGTGGTGGTCATTAGCATAGGAAGTGCGGGAGACACAAGAGATCAAGATGAGGGTAAATGGCCACACGGGTTACGTAATTCTTATTTTATGACTGAAAATTGCCCACCATGACTTATGTGTGGTTCCATTAATCAGTGTTTCACACTTTCTTTTTACCCAAGAATGAAAAGTATGAAAGAGCAAGGAAAGTTCAGACCCAAAGTCCCATATTTTCACTATGATAACTTCATAATCCAATCACAAAACTGGTCAAATATATAGATATATTGGTGATAAATAATAAATCATAAATGTTTTATTTTCTTGTATTATTACTTATTTAAATCATATTTAAACAACACTAAAAAATCATTTGACACTTGATTGAACTTTTCTTGAATGGTAGTCAATTATTGTTCAAATATTATTTGGATCATATTCAAATTTTACACTTCTCTTAAATTTACATAGGTATCGTTGTGTGCTAGACCTTGCACTCAAGACCTTATGTTTAGAGAAAGAGCTCACAATCATTATGCCAGGTGTTGCATGTATGTTTGTTCAGTGAGTTATGTTCATGAAAATTATATTTGAAATGTGTTAAAATTTTATATTTATTATATTTTTGTTGTACTAATTATTTATTTTGCTATAGAAAATATGCAATAACAACAAGTAGGAGAAGCCTAAAGAAAGTATTTGTAGCATCACGACACCTGATACATAGCACTGCAAAGCCTGTGTCACATTTTTAAGTCAGATGTTTTAGAGCTTAGCATCATAACATCATAAATCCAGTGCCGCAAAACTTATCATTAGTGTAGCAACACTGGAGGAGGGCATAATTGGAAGAAAGACCCAGAGCATGGCACTGTAGTGCCAAATTTCAACGTCAAAGTGCTAACATTCAAGCTTCAAAGCACTGATTTGTGAAGAAATATGTGCCTTAAACTCAAGCGTGATGCCACGATTCCATATTAGAGCACTACAATGTTAGTTTGTAGCATATCAATGCAATAGCCTAACATAAAATTTCATTTTAGGTTTCAGAGTGGCTCATGGGTGATTACAAAGTGATATGTAAGCAATTTTAATATTGGGGACACATAAAAAAATATTAAGAGTGTGTGAAGAGTGAGAGAGGAGAATTATTGCCTACTATCTAGTTTGATTAATATGTGTGAGTGTATACAAGAGTAAAAATTATGTAGAAAAGAGGAGAGCAAAATAATATTTGGTCTCAAAGAGCTAAACATAACTCTATCTTACTCACACTAGCCCAATTTCTACCTTTATTCTTGTAGTTTTGTTATTTTTGTAAATTATGTTTAGGAAATAAGTTTAATTGCTTTGAATTTGTGATTTGCTTAAAGACTTTATGTAAGATTGTGTTGAATGATATAAATAAAATGAAGAAACTTTATTTTGTTTCACATTGAACTTTATCTAAATGTGGTTTATCCATTTATGTTTTAAAATTTGCTTATATCTAGTTTTTTACAAAAATCTAATGAGAAAATATGATGGAATAATAAAATTTCTAAAAGCATGTGCATATAGGTATTGGATAATTGAAAACTAGTGAGGAATATATTGCATGAAAATCATTCACATTAATTAGGATAAGCATATCTCATTTAGTGATATGATGATTGAATTCTTTTAACTGTTGACTAAGATTAAGATATAGTTTTGTCCTTGATTAACAATTAATTTTGGAAAACATAATTTACATAAAGGGCTTTAAATAATAATAAATTCAAAGATCCACTTCATTTGAATAATTAAGTTTCATCTTAAAAGTTTTTATTTTTAAATAGATTTGTTAGATAAAACATAGATTAATAATTTTTGTACCTCATTAAATTAAGTAATCAATCGTTGTAGGAACGATATCCTATTTAATAGTTTATTACTTAAAATGACATGTGTTTAATATTTCGCTAACTTCTTTTGTTAGAAATCCAATAATTTAATAGTTTATTACTTAAAATGACATGTGTTTATTTCGCTAACTTCTTTTGTTAGAAATCCAATAGTTATTGATTGTCATTGTGATTATTACTCATATTACTATAACTACTATTTTATGGATGTTGTGTGCATAAGATAGACGATTGTGAACTTGTGCCTTTAAAACTAGAAATTTAAAAGGCTCATACAAAAATAAAACAATAAAAAGATGAAAAATCAAATAAAAAATATGGTAAATCTACCAATATTACCACATAAGGCTTTTATCAATTCATTGGCAGATGGAGTGCATCGTAATGTTAATAAACATATTATTCATGCTAATAAATTTGAACTCAAATAGGCTATACTTCAAATTGTCCAAAACACAGTATTTAAAAGTTCACCTTTATAACATCTTGAACCCGTATATAGTTTGTTTCTTATAAATATGTGTGACCTTTAAGTATAATGAACTCTGATTACATAATAAGACGAAGACTATTTCAATTTTCTTTTAGATCCAAAGCTAAAATACGATTGATATTTCCTCCCCAATAATTTATTACTATGTAAAATGTGTTAGCGCAAAAATTTTTAGCTAAATATTTTTTCTTAAGACTTGCAAACTTATAGACAATATAGGTTTATTCACTCAACTTAATAATGAGTCAATTTCTAAACCTTAGTAAAGGTTTAAGGAGTTATTGATCAAATATCCACACCATGTTCTTCTTGATTGGTTAATTATTTAACTTTTTATAGCATATTGTTAAGATCATTAAGTTTTGTTGAGTCGTCAAGAAATTTTTATCATCCAGCATGAATCTTGATGCTTTTTTTAGCAATAACATGCTAGGTTCAAATTAAAGATCATCGAGGGCCTCGATTTCATCAAGCTCATAATTAAACTAACTATCTTGATAAGATAAACCTAATAATACCAAAACTACTTCAATCTGGATCTAATCAAACCCGATTAAGGCATTAAAGCACATATAGAGGCTTTTGATTGTTAAATAAATGATCAAATGAACTCCAAATTTGATATATTTATAGTAAACTCGAGTGTCTCAATAAGAAGAATCCATCGAGCCCAAGAACACTCAATTCTAAGGTCATTAAAGCACCCAAATCATTAACAACCCCCTCTGATCAAGGGAGATCAATATCAGTCAATCGATCAAGTGATTGAGAAAGTTTCACCAAAAGACCAGAGTACCCCTCCCAAGCAGCTATAAATAAACCCACTCTATTCACTTTGAGGGGGAGGAGAAGAAGAGAATTTTCAAAGTGTGCATTGGATTGAAAACTCGGAGATAACTTACAGCCTTCATAGCCATCGATACCATCCTTCAACTTTTATACTAAGTTTAACAACTGCTGAGTATGCATATTGAAGGGGCACAACCATCTCAAAATCCATCAATTATACGTACATGGTTAAAACCCACTCCACACATTGAATTTCCTTCCCTTAAATCTGACATTGCTAGCTCTACACATCCATCTCATTTAGTCAAGCCTAGTAGCAAAACTCCAATAGGTGCAGAGAACGTGGCTTGACCTCATGTAATTTATGATGCATTACAATGTCCAGTGCAAGAAGAGTTTCCTCAAAGGGATAGAAGTTATTTATCAACTCAACATAGTTCTTGAGAGTCATGTTTGTTGGAAATGTCCGGCTAGAAAGCACTCCTCAATGCCCCTCATCATATGCAAGTTTCTC